ACAAAGGCACTAGGAAGTACTTCGGGAGGCAAACCTGATGACTTCACTGGCATATCCCAAACACATCTGACTGTAGACAGCTCTCATCTGTGGAGTATAGCTTGGACTAGCTGGCACGGTTTTGTCAGATGTTTCTGGGTGGCATCTCTTCTAATGGTTTTTTGTTTTGTTTTGTTTTATTCTTTTTGAGATAGGGTTTCTCTGTGTAGCCTTGGCTATACTGGACTTATTTTGTAGACCAGGCTGGCCTTGAACTCACAGAGATCCGCCTGCCTCTGCTTCCCTGAGTGCTGGGATCACAGGTGTGGGCCACTGCACCTGGCTGTTCTGATGATTTATCCTTGAGTCACACTGGTTTCTATTAAATAACCTTCTTTTGGTGCATGTATGTATGCTGGGACCTGAGGTCCTGTGCTTGCTGGGCATGTGCCTTTCTACTGAACTATATCCTTAGCTCTGAATAATCTGAGTGATGCCTTTTGGAAAATACTTTATTAAAGACTGTCCTCTGGGTGGGGTGTGTAGCTTCGTGGGAAAGCCTGTGCTTAGCACACATAAACCCCACCTATCCCCAGGTTCACTCACTCCTTCAGATGCTTCAGAATGTATAAGCCACAGGTGGTACATGCTCAGGGAGGCAGGAATAGCAGGGACAGGTTGATTGAGCAGTGTGGGAGGTGAAAGAAAAAGGCTTATCTACTGAGCTGTAGTTAGTTCGAAGAATCCCATGGAAGGAAGTGCCAGTAACTGTATGTCTTCAGCTCCCCCAGGAAGATGGTGATGAAGATAAATTTACTGAACGACATGGCCCGTGTATTATGCCTTCTGTCTCAAGTTAACCCATAAATGTTTGAAATAATGGGTTGCGTATTCTTGCCATTTGTATGCCTGGTAATCTTTGGGTGTCAGACATTGTAAATTCTTCCTTACTGGCTGTGAAATTTGTGTTGTTATAAATACCTATGAGATTTGCCCCAGGATACAGTCTATGGAAGCAGGTGGGCTTAGCTTTGAAGATTACTAGAAAGTATTTGCTACAGAAGCACTGTTCCCAGGGCCAATTATAGTTTCTCCTCCTGAGGCTTGATCTTCCCAAGTCCTCACACAAATGCCTGTGAATGTGGGGATGCCCAATATGCCTTGACAGGACCTTTGTTGTCCCTGATACTCACCTGGGTACCATTCCCTCGATGTGGGGTTCCCCTCATCACACACTTGCTCTTTGGGAGTGCTTAAAGGGGTCTTAGGAGATCTCTAGGGATCTCTGGATGCTTCTTCTTTCTGGCACTTTGACGTTCAGATTTGCTGGCCTAGTCTCCTCAGGCTACCCATAGCCTCAGGGAGAACACTGTGTTCTACCTCCATCCCCTGTGCTGGCCTGGTGGCTCTGCCTAGTAGGGCTTATTTTCACCTCTCGGCAAGTGCTGCTCGTCTTTGCTTGATGTCCTAAGTCTTGAAATGCCCCCCCCCCATTCTAAGTTATTTTTTCATTGTTGTTTAAAGGTAGTAGTGTAAAGATCTAATCCCTGTCACTCCACTTTGGCCCCCTTTCTTCCTTCCTTCCTTCCTTCCTTCCTTCCTTCCTTCCTTCCTTCCTTCCTTCCTTCCTTGAGACAGGGTCTCTGTGTAGTTCTGGCTTGTCAGGAACTTGCTATGATCACTAGGCTGGCCTTGAATTCATAGACATCTACCTGACTCTGCCTCCTGGGTGCTTGAATATAATAAAAATATAATAAATATAATATAATAAATATACCATACTATACTATACTATACTATACTATACTATACTATACTATACTATAAATATGCTTGGCTCTCTCAAACTCTTATCCTCCTGTCTCTGTGTTGTGAGTGCCAAGATGACAGGAATGTACCACCACAGCCAGCCTTTTCTGCTTTTTATTTACATGTAAAGCTTATTCCTATATTCCTCCCTTTCTCTATTTGCCTTTGCTTATTTTCTTTGCATAATTCTCTTGCTATCTCCTAGCTACTTGCTAAAGAGTAGCCCTTGGGGCAAGGAGTTACCCAGCTAAATTGTGCTGTGGTTTCAATTTAGGTTAGGGCCTCACATCAGCCTCTGCCATGTCCTCTGCACACGCCATCCTTTCTTCAGCTTGTATGCTCTTTGTCACTGGGGTCAGTAGGACTTAGAAGAAACTGCCTTAGGCTACAGGCCTGCTGGGTGGTGGCCATGTGGCCACTTCTGTTCAGCTGGCTCTGATCTGCAGCTATCAGTCTGTTTTTTTATTTTTCCCCTTTGCCCATTCCTGTGCTTCCTCATTTTGGGTGTTAACCATTATTGGTAAGTACTGCCTTTTATGAGATAGCACTGTTGTCTTCTGTTGGAAGTACCTCTGCTTTCTGTGCAGAGGTGAGCATATAGGTAGAGTGGAGCTTTCAAATGGACTTGCCTCCTTGTCTTCCAAGGTTACAGCCTTTCTGGCCTATGGGCTTACATGTTGTGTAGTTTTGAGCTGCTTTCCCTCTGACTTCTGACTATAGAACTTCTCTGAACATGCTTAGGAAAAATCTAGAAAACAGAGTTGTTGAGAAGCCAACCCCTTTCCCCTCTGGGTTTCCATCATTAACACAGGGACAAATAAGATAACATGTAACATCACTATGCTCATAAAACATACTGAACTGTGATGATCTCACCAATGAGAAGAGACTAGACAATAAAGGACAATGACCAGAAAGATGAAACAAAATTAACTTTTCCTCATCAAGTAAGTACCAGGTTGATGATTATAACTCTAAGCTGAAATTTCAAGCTGGCTCTTTTGGTTTTAGGAAAGGAAGATTAATACCTTACTGGTAATTGATCTCCAAGTTCATAAGACAGAAAAACAAGGGATAAACTGGAAAAAAAATTTATCATCTTGTCAACTTTCTTCTCTTATATCTAGGAATTTTGAAGAAACAGCAAATTCTCTTTTATGTTAGAAGAAGGAGGCACACACCTAGGAACAATCTGCATGTTAGAAGAGAATCACAGATGGGTTCCAGCTCTGTCATGGGAGAAGACCTTTAAGGCCAGTTGGAATTTACTAAACAAGAACTCACACTGAAACAGGAATACTTCAGTTCCTCAGGCAAAACCAACTGTATTCATTACCACAAGTCTTCAAGTAAGAGACAAGCTATGATTCCCTCTATTGTCCATATTTTGTCATGTGTAAACGTTTACAGGAAGACAAGCCTGTTTGTGTGAGTTAGGGACATTTACTGCACAGACTTCCACAATAACCTTTCATTCTAAACTCTTTTGTATGCTTCTTAGCTTTACAGTTGCTTGGCAGATGCAGGGAATCCATCTGGGCCACCAGCCTCCTGGATGGTGCCACCCACACTCAGGGCCAGGACCTTCCTGTTCAGCTACTGACACACAAGTTAACTGCCTCTGCGAATGCTCACAGACAACCAGCAGCGTGCTTTACTGAAGTCTTAGGCATCTCTCAGCCCACTCAAGCTGACAATATGGATGGACCATCACAAAGTCTTCACACACATACACATACACACTTGGTTTTTTGAGATAGGATTTTTCTGTGTAGCCCTTAGAACTTGTTCTGTAAACCAGGCTGGCCTTGAACTCAGAGATATACCTGCCTCTGACTCCAAGTGCTGGGATTAAAGGAGTGTCAACACTGCTAGGCATATATATATATATAATAATTATATATATATATATATATTTATTTATTTATCAATTCCATATATCTTTTTTTTCTGCCAGATGACCACTAAACATAATTTATAAGATGTATAAAGAGCCATTTTGATTTAGAATGCAAAGTTAAATAACAAAGAATAGTGTACTCAGGACCAGGGGCAGGTGGATCTCTGTGAGTTTGAAGTCATCCTGGTCTACACAGAGATCCTGTCCTAAACAAAACAAGACTGCTTACATTACACTACATATACTTAACCAGAAAAAATAAAGACAGTAGAACTTAAGCTTTTCTGAGAATGTGGGAATGTCTTACGGGAAGGAAAGAAACTGTCACCTGTACCATTTGCCAACACTAATTTTGTGGTGTGTGTGTGATCTTGCTCTCACACCAAGATAAGGTGGGGTTTGGGGGAAGACAGAACGCCACAATGAGAACATAAACTTAGGAGAGGGTACTGCCCCAGTCACTCCGTGGCCACTTACAACAAAGAAAGCTCCATCTCCCACATTTCAACAAATAACCTGACAAACTATTCCCTTGCTTAAAATTATTACTGAATATTCCCCACCATTGGGGTGGGGGATCCATATTTTTTTAATTATTCTATGTGTATGTGCATGAGTGTCTTGCCTGTGCCCACAGAGGACGGAAGAAGGTGCTGGATCTCCTGGAACTGGAGTTACAAATGGTTGTGAGCCTTTGTTTGGGTCCTCTGGAAGAGTAGCCAGTGCTCTTAACAGCTGACCCATCTCTTCAGCCTATATTTCCTACATCATTTTCCCCAACTCTCCCTGCCCCTTCCCCAAGATACCATCCTGCTTTATAGTGATTTTCTCAGAATATGCTGTTTTCTGTCATGATTGTTTCTATAACAATTTTTCCTGCCCTGGGAATTTCCTCAACCTTTATGGACCTACATGCTATCTTAAATCTGCTTTCTAATTTGTTTATAGTCATGGCAGACACATTAACTGATTTTTTGGGATAAATGCAAAGCAGTGGCTATAAGAATATAAAGTAATTTCTTCAATTGTTTGGATTGAATTACATTACATTTGGATTGGCAGCAATGAAATAACCATGAGTGAATCTCTCCTTGTTGGCAAAGCTAGATACTAGAAAAGTAGAGGACCATTCTTTGCCTTGAAATAAGGCTGGATGCTAATTTTACCTTCTATGAAATGGATGCTTTAATTTGTCCTTGAGGAGGAAAACTATAACATATCCACATTGGCAGAAAACAAGTTCAGTGATAAGCATGCTTAAATATTTTATGTATTGACGACTCATGTTTTAGCTACAAAGATAAATTTTTACCTCTTGAAATGATTCACCAGGACTCCAACAAGTTCTCCAATTCGACTTTCATGGGTTGGCTGCTTGCTAAACAGGCAGACAATGAGGTCTTTGTTGTCTTTTGTATGGAACACCACAAGTTGGTCCTTTCCATTGGAGACACTTAGACCAGTCAACTGCAAGGAGGCAACACACAGAAAACCATCAGGGAATCATTAGGAAGAATGAGCTAAATCAGGTTATAGCAACCATGCTGATGACTTTTGCTTTTACAAGTTTCATGGAATAAGGAGATAAAAGGAAACAATAAAGGTAAGAAATGATTGTGACCGGAAATCAAGAAAACAAAAATGATTCTTTCAGAAGACAAATAAAATTGACAAGCTTCTAGCTTAAGAGAAGAGTGGAGAGACATTATTGCCAGAACTAGGAATAGAAGGGGGGGCTGGCACCACAGGCCACAAAGATGTTAACTATGAAAAGGGAATATTTGAACAACTTCATATACAGTAGCATAGTCAACAACTTAAACCAAACAGTTCCTTGAAAGCTCTCTCTTCCAAACAGCCTGACTGATCTGTATCTGTTGAAGAAATTAAATCTCTAATTAGAAAAATTTCAAAAGAGAAATTCCAGGCCCAGATGATTTCGTTAGTGAATTGTTCTACACATCTAAAGAAATACCACCAATTCTCCTATTTTTGCTAGAAAATAGATGGGACCACATCTAACTCATTTTAAGAATCATTATTCTGATATAAAAAAATAAATAGATAGCATAAGGAAATAATAAACTGATATCCTCCATGAACTTGGATATAAAACCATTAGCAAACTGAATCCAATAACATATTTGAAAAAATACAATGAAACAAAAATGAAACATAACAAAAACCAAAAAAACAAAATGCCTAGACCTACAATGACTTTTTAAAAAATATGGAACGCTTCATGAAGTTATGTGTCATCCTTGCGCAGGGGCCATGCTAATCTTCTCTGTATCGTTCCAATTTTAGTATATGTGCTGCCGAAGCGAGCACCTACAGTGACTTTTTAAAAGCTAAAATATTTAGAAATCTAACAAAGTGTGTGTAAGACCTACATATTGAAAACTATCAAATGCTGGTAAAGTCAAATTACAATACAAATGAAAGAAAAAGACCCTAAACAAATGAAGAGAAAATATATTAAGAGACTGGAAAATTTAATACTGTGTAGATGCCAATTTTATACAAATTGATTTACAGATGTGATACAATCCCAGACAAACTGTTTTGGTTAAATATCAAAAAGCTGATTCTGAAGCATACATGGAAAGGCGAAGGAGCTAGAACAGCCACAGCAGTTTTGAAAACAAGAAGCAAGGTTGGAAGTCACATTGGTGACTTTAATGACAACTATAAAGCTGAGTCATCAAGACAACATAATTTGTAAAGAAATGAAAACGAAGATCAGAGATACAGCCACGTGACTACGATCAGTGCATTGCCCACAGAGGTGCAAAGGTGACTCAGCAGAGAAAAAGACAACCCAGGTGGCTTGGGATATTTGGACATCTACATTCCAACAGAAACAAACATTTATTCAAGTCACATCCCTCACAATTCAATTCAAAATGGACCATAAATCTATACATAAAATGTTAACTCTAGGACTTTTAGAAGAAAACTAATGATAGGAAATTGCTTTACCAAAGAAGGTAGACGAATAGCAAATGAAAATGAAACCTGCCTGTAAACAAACCAGAACACAGACATAGATAGACACAGACAGACCAATTAATAAAAACCTCAAACCTTCGTTAATACAAAAATTATATATGGCTGCTTACAGTAGCTCCATAATGACCCCAAATGAATGCAATTGAATGCCTATCATCAGGGGAATGGATAAGCAAATCAAGACATCTATAAACAATACTCAGCAATGGGAACGGACAAACTGATGATACAGATTATTCTACAACAAGCATAAACACCAAAGGCATTATCTTGAGTGAAAGCAGTCAGTTTCCAAAGGCTACACACATATGATTCCAATTATGAATTTTCTAGTATGATGGAGCCACTTTGTGTCCTGACCAGGCCAGTGCTTACTACAATGTCTTAAGACTCACAGACCTGTATACCAGCCTCACACATGAAAGCCAATTTTATTACATGCAAATTAGAAATTACAGCTCCCTGGCTATTTGGATGCTAAGGCATCCTCCTTTGGGCAACAAAGCAGACATTAGAGTGATCTCTCATCTTGGATGCTTGTTTTCCCATCACAGGTTGTGCCACCTCCTGACTGCCGCTGGTGTTGTCAGTGAGCAAGCAACCAGCAGGGACCAGGCAGCTGCAGGACAGTACATGCTGGCACCAGGGCTGGATCTAGCAAAGATAGAAACCTCATTCTCAGGGGAGTCAGTACAGTCAGATTCTGGAGATTATGCAAGCACAGAAGAGTCGTCAGCTGTAGATCGGAAGGGTTAGGGAGACGCATACATTTTACAGGAGAGCAGCAATCAAGGTGCTCAGCTAATGTGTTGACCTAGAAACAGAAATCAGGCTATGAGTTGACTCACACTCATGTGTTTTTTTCTATCACACCCAGTTGAAATTTTCTTTTTGTCTTGTCTTTTTTTTCTCTCTCTCTTTTTCTTTCTTTCGAAGTGCTGGGGATCCAGCTCAGAGCCCCGAGTGTGCTAGCACGCCTCTGCCACCTAGCTGGGGGTGTCCCCTAGCCCTATCATAGGAAGCTTTCCTAAGTACCACACATAAATGAACATAAACTTGTAAATCAGTACTCCTATGAAAATGTTTTCATAGGAGGTGAGTTCTCAGGTAGATTTTGTTTATTTCTTATGTGAGGCTTCCCACAGGCCACAAAGCTCATGTGTGGAGGTCAGAAGACAACTGGTGGGAGTGGGTCCTCCCCTTCCACCCTGTGCCTCCCAGGGATTGGGCTCCGGTCACCGGGCTTGGTGGCCGGCGCCTTTACCCACTGAGCCATTCCACCATTCCGTTGCTGCGGTGCTCTTTAACAAATGTTAAGTCGGTGTTTAATGGAGAGCTGGGAAAACAGTTAAATATTTGGAAGCCACTCACTCACCTTTTAAAAATGGCTGCCTGAGGCCAGTGGTAAGACAAGACAGCAATTTCTCTGCCACTTAGTCATATTGCATCCAGACGATTTTTTGTATGATTAAATTAAAAATATCATTTTCATTTGAAAAATGTTTTATGCCTATGATGCTTCACTCTCATTTGATTACTTTATTTATAAAATCCAAAATCGAATTTATGCAGCACTTCATGGGAAAGTTTGATTAAAGCCTAATAAAATGAGAATTGGAGTAGCAGTAACTGTCCGAGCTTCCCACGAGTGTTAGTTACTGGGCTGGGAAGAGCAGCTGGAGGCAGCCTGCTGCTGTGACCCCACTTGTGCAGACACAGAAGACCACTTCCTTGGGCACCGCCCAGCCCAGTGGAGCTTTCCCCACCCCCCTCCCCTGTCTTCCCCTGTGGAAGGGCAGCCTCATCTACTCCAGGTAAGGATTAGTTCTTCCTGTGTATACTTAGGTGACAGGGTGTGTCAAGTCCTGGAGGAAAGATTAACAACAAACAACACTAAGAAAGTCTCCTTCTGTTCTGGGAGTTCTCATGATGAGTGGGAGGACTGTGGGCTGAGGGAGACCTGTCTGTGCAGCCCACTTCAACCATGTGCTCTCAGACATCCATTCAATTTCCCATGGTTCCACCTTGTCTTCTGCCATCCCTCTGGCCAGTGGCATGAAACTCTTCTTGATCCTTCTGCCTAAGAGCCTTCCACATTCTGGGACTACAGGCACTACCAAACCTGGGTGACAATTCTTATACCACTTAGAATGCTCTATTATACAGAAAACTGTGGAAGCCATTTTATTATGATTATTTTATTTAATTCTGGTAGCAAGATTTAAAGTATAAATGTTTCATATTCTCTTTCTCTCATTGCTTATATGAGTGGCCCCTACTCCCCACCCCCTGACAATCAGATGTAATATCATAAGAACAGATGGGAAAATCCAAAATAATCAACAGGCTGAATTCACAAGTAAAAGGGTGGCTTGCATTGGGAAACGTTCGTGAAACTCAGTTGATTAGGAAGCCACGTCTTCCTGCTATCTCATGATCTATACTTGGCTAACTAGAGGGCATTCTTTGAGGTCAGGCTTAATGTCTCTCAATTCTTTAAGCCAAGCATAGAATTCTGGATCCGCATTATTATTTTTTAATAGCACCTCATGTATACAAATGATAACCCTTTCTATGGCAAGTGCAAGGGCTCACCTATATTTTATTACTATTTCATCATTTTTATTGGTTATGGCCTGTTCTAACTACTTGGCAATCTTTGGCAATAAGGTGCTGTAGACAGAGGAGGAAACAAATTTTCTCCTTGGAATTGGAGTATGGAAGTCCTCAGGTCTGGCTGAGCATGGAGACTAAATGCACCTGGATCTTTTCATATAACTAAAACAAAACAATTTGCATATGAAGTATGTATGCACACCTGCCTGCACACACTCACACGGGCACCTGGGAAACCAGGAGGGAATCTCCTGGAGCTCGAGGTGCAGGCGGGTGTGAGATGCTCTACGAGGCCACTGGGAACAGAATTTGAAGAGCAGTCTTCTTGAAGAGCACTGTGCTCTCTTAACCTCTGAGCCACCTCTCTGGTTGGTCATGTGATTTTTAATTGATAGACACATGCCATCTACATCTTACTTATTTTTATAAACAGCAGGTAAAAGAAATAATTAACTGAAAATTAAAAATATAACTCCTACACAACTTGAACTATCAGTTCAACAGGATTTTTAAAAATTGAGGTATATGAGCTGGAGAGGTGGCTTCTTAGTTAAGATCCCTGGAGCTCTTCTAGAGGACCAGCACCCACATAATGGTTCAGAACTCTCTGTAACTCCGATCCCAGAGGATCCAGTGTCTGCTTCTGGCCTCTGAGGGTGCTGCATGCATATGGTGCATAGACTTACATGCAGGCAAAGAAAAAAATAAAAAAAAAATTAGAAAAAAAGAAAAGATTTAGGCATTTAACTGCTGGCAGGAATGTACATGTTTTGCTATTATGGAAATCAATACGGAGATTTCTCAAAAAAAAAAACAAGAGAGAGCTACTAAACAGTTTG